ACCCGGTCCAGGTGTATATGCCATCGTTAGATCTTGCACTCATAATTGATCTGCTAATCCGTCCCGCATAAATCACCTAATCCCTAACAAATCACTTGTACAATATTGGTAATTATTCACTTTTAATTGCAATTTGATTTTGATTTTTCAACAAAAAATGACTATAACAACTCCTTATTGATCCCGTAATGGGTGCTATTTAACGATTTATATTGTACATTATATTAGACCAATTCGTTATCAGCACATCCTTGTAGTTACAGGATCATTTTAGAAAATGTTTGATCTCAAAACCCCTTGTATCGAAAACTGTTTCCATCTAAATACTTGTATGTATAAGATTATATTCATAAAAAATAGAATTCGCATTAAAGCTGTCCCAATCTTTCTCTTTTAAAGTAAGAGATTAAAGCTGCTATGCTGGTAACATGCCTGGCGTGTAYCCAAGTGTAGCAACTTATGAAGCGCGGYTTGGTGTCCTGTRGCGGAATAWTTTTTTTTCTTCTCGTTGTATTACTGTTAAATCTCGCGTATATTGACATTGGTTAGTTTAATGTCTAGTTAGAGCGCCATGCTTTAAATGCCGTTTACTTGTTGATAAGGATTTTCAGAAATTTTCTTCGTAAAAAAAAAAAAACACGAAGAAACGTGTATTCAACCACCAGTTGAAGAAGTGACACTAACCGGAATAAAGAATCGAAAAGTGAAAAAAAAAAACGTCAACGAAATTTTAGAATATTTTAACTCTTTAATCTAAAAATAATCAAGAATTTGGCGCGTTTTGTAAAAAGGAAAAAATACCCTAGACATGCTCTTATACGCGAGATTTAACTGTGTATAGAATCAACTATATTGAACTGAAATCAGAGAATAGAAGACTTGATATATATACAATTACTTGGAGGACATTTCTAGTTCGATATCCAAGTTCGATCCTTTTTCATCAGAATGGATTCTATTGTGTCCTCTCAGGCCGGAAAAGCACGAGAATGACTTGCTGCATCGTTTGCAGTTATAAGGCTTGTCACCTGTATGTGTCCTTGTGTGGCTTCGTAGAGTCACAGCTTGTGTAAAACTTTTTGAACAGTGTTGACATTTGAATGGCTTCTCTCCAGTGTGAATTCGAGTATGTGTTCTAAGATTGGAATACTGAGTAAAGGCCTTGCTGCAAAATTGACATCGAAAAGGACGATCTCCCGTATGCGTTCGAATGTGATCTCTCAAATGCGACGATTTCCCGAATGACTTCTCACAGTGCATACATTGAAAGCGTTTCAGCTTTGGCCGACGTTCTTCAGTTGGGGACACGCTAGCTTGTGAAGTCATTGGTAGCCCAAACGGAAACATCCCAGTCGGAGTTCTACTATCCYCCGAACTGAAACTYGGCGAGAATCGTTCCTGCTTGAGCCTGCAGATCGCTTCTAGCGGTTTCCCCGGTGAATACTGCCCGTAGAGCCTTTCGGGATACATTGCAGCTTCGCAGAACTGACAATTACAGAGTCGGCCATCTGCGGAAAGCAAACATAAGCACCATATTACATAAACAGYACAAATTGTGTTAGTCTTTAAACAAAAGAATATATCTTTATAGTCTTGGAAGGTGACCAAGAGCTGTTAAACACGATTTAACACGCTGTTATTGTTTGTCCCTCAAACAATACACATCCTTCAGAGTTCAATTTCCTCATGTTTAATTGCTTCTTTTCCGCTCAATCTTTAACTCGCTACGGCATCCGCTTGTTTTCATCTTAACCGCTAATTGTTTGTGACTAATAATGCTCACCCGCGATCTATGTATCATTTTGATCTTGATACTATAAATTCAATGGTTAAACCGACAATAACGTTCTTGAAAAAACTCTTTTTTTTCCTTACTGTTTTCACACCAAAGTTGTAAATATTTACGCTTGTTTTGATGGTAGTTATGCGCGTGAAAATGAGTTGTTCAGATTTGAAATCATTTCCTGAGCTAACCCAATATTCTATTCTATCTGTTAAAGGTTGTATACCGGATTTCTGGTAATTGCGAGATTGCCCTTGCGTGTGAATTAAGGYTTATACCCATATCTAAATTACCATTCAAAAAACCTATTTCGTTTACTAACAATAAACCATTCAAATCTTTTAAACAATTAACCTCTTCGCTAGGCCAATTAAAGAGTTACAGTAAATACCAAAGCAAAGGTTGGCATAATCTTGGCTAATTCAGGAGAAAACCAGACTAATTCTAATGAAGGAAATTCTAGCCAATCATTCTTGAATTTTCGTTCACTAAATACTTTATTGATTTCAATTTATTTTTCTTGAGTGTTAAATTATTTCTAGAACTGTTTCCTGAAGGTTTCTTTTTCGGTTTCCACTCSGTCCAATTCTATTAAATTGAAATTTCTTCGCTGTCTTTTGTGTATTTTTTTATTGTTTCATTGAATCGAGCTATCACTAACACAATTATCTAAATGTTAGCTCACAAAATATACGCTCAATGATATTCAAACTCTTGTAAACCCAAAATGTTCTTCGAGSCTTGTTCTRCAACATAAATTTATTTAAAATCTCACTTTTCCGAAAAGTTAGTTTTCCATTTTGACAAACGAAGACAACAACTTTATTTTTTTCGATGCAGACATAATTTATTTAGTAGAATATTACATGTTCAATTAAAGTACTGTATTTTCTAGAATCCTTGCATGACAATTTCCCACAATTACTCAAAAAATAACAAATTTGATAATGGTATCAGGACGCCAGCTGCGACAAGGAAAAACCGATCGGTGAAGGTTATCCGTCAACGCATTGTTTCCTTTACGTATGAAAAAAATATTATAGTCTCTTGAAAAATATTATTGAAAAATAAACCGCAAAGGTTAGGGCTTTTTCTCAGAAGCAATTTTTTCTTTTCTTTTAACTTTGAATTGAAAAAAGTTAAATATAGAAAGTCAAGATCCAGACGTTCTATAAAAACGCCCAAATTTAGTCTTAAAGTTTCAGTTTTATCAACTATGAAYTTAATAGGGCTTTGAGTACGAGTTTATATAATGACGAGAATGACTTTGTATTTCTGTGTTTGCTACCTTTTTTAGTTTTTCAATTATATGTTTTGGTTTCTTACGTTTTTTTAGGTAATAGATAACTCGTTTTTAGGCGAGATTAGGAAATATCATGCATAAAAAGCAGTATAATGTCTATTATTTAGAAAGAGTTTGTTAGATGGGAAGCGATAAAAATATCATATATTATTTTTGTTGAAAGATTCGGACGCCAACTGCGATTTTAAGAAATTGAACTTAAATTTTAACTTAAGTCAAGTTATATACTTGTAAAAATTTGAATCATGATGTTACAGATTCCTATTCCTTTCATGCTTGCCTTTTTAGAAAATTTTGATAAATGAATTGAATCTGTTTAGTAAGTTTAATAAAGTATTGTAGAATACAAGTTTAAAGAAGTAAAGAAAATATTGACAATATTGTCCACGAAATTACCAACGCATTTTAGTTGATATGATCAWTTTTTCTCAACATCWCTGATCAATTTGTCTCAATCTTCAAGAAAATTTAGTTCAGGCAGCGAGATTTAAAGCTAKTTTTTCATGTCCCTTTCTTTTGCGCACAAAGTTYGTAAATTTGCCAAGAAATAAAAATTGGTTTCACATTGACGTCACCGAACGAGTTAAGACTGTCGTACGTTAAAAAAGGAGGGACTGAGAACATTAAAGTATTTCTATGACACAAAAGAAGGTCGTTGTCAATCTAACTGTGATCAATGCTTCAGTATCTAATCCATTAATATTGTATCCATATCACTCCTATATATCCCCACCACGAGTCAGATATTCTAAGATATTCACCTGTATAAAATACGGGCATTCGAGGAGGGTAGCAATCAGAACGACTTGCGACTTCACGAGCATATTCTTGTTGTCTTCGGAACCGCAGCCAGTGGTTATTAAGAACATGAGCATCATCTGGAGGCGTTGGACTAGACGAAGGGCTGACTTTCTTTGGCTAAATTAGGAATGAAAAATATCAATTAGCTGTCGAATGACGATAATAACAAGACATAAAAGTCGACTTTTTGGGGTTAAATTTGTTTGCCGGTGTTCATGATATTTAGAATGTAGGATTTGAATTCAATTTGCGCAAATAACAAAATGCCGAAATGTCTCAAGCGATCGAGAAAAGATGCCAAACTATCGACATGTAGATAGAACGATCGAGAAAAACAGCAAAATGTCGAAATGTCTCAAGCGATCGAGAAAAACAGCAAAATGTAGAAATGTCTAAACGATCGAGAAAAATGCCAAACTACCGAAATGTCGATAGAACGATCGAGAAAAATAACAAAAATGTCGAAATGTTACAAACGATCGAGAAAAAATGCCAGTCTATCGAAATGTCGATAGAACGATCTAGAAAAATAACAAAATGTCGAAATGTTACAAACGATCGAGAAAAAATGCCAAACTACCGAAATGTCGATAGAGCGATCGAGAAAAACAGCAAAATGTTCAAATGTCTCGAACGATCGAGGGAAATATCCAAAATGTCGCTGTCAAAACGATCGAGTGTAATGCCAAAATGCCGGTCATTTTTGGCCATATATAGCTTTTTAGCAATTAAAAAAAGATTTCAGCGATATTGTAATTGTGTGTGATTTTATGGTATATTTTGATATTATGTTTTGTATTATAACTTTTCATTTTTATGGATATTTTCAGAGGTGAACTAATTAAATCCTTGTTGTTTTACTAAAACTTCTTAATGGTTGAAAAACCAAACGAATACTTGAATATTATAGCTCCTCTACTAATGCAACACTTAATTTGCCAATCAAAAACATCTAAATGGTATTATGACAGACAAATTCAAGAAGTTAAGTTAAGATTTTTTTCCATCCGGCATTGAATTTTTGAGATCCTACCAATTTAGCGCTATCTTATTTCAAAAAGAAAAAAGAAAAAAAAAAGAAAAAAGAAAAAAAATAGCACCCTTCGCCTTGATTATTTCTGACTCATTGGGGAAAGCATTTTGTTTTATTTCGGCTTTAAATTTTATGTCTTCTGTTATTTTAATAATAATAATATCATTAATATAATATTTCAACAAACATTAATCCTAAGAGCGTCAAGCTCATTATTTTCAACCTACAGAAAGAAAAAAATATGAAAGACAAAAAGATATAATTTCAAAATGAATTCGGATACAAATTTCGCTAGTTCGTTTATTTCGAATTCACTAAAATGTTCGTTTTTTATCACTCAGATTAAGAGAAAGTGAATCTGGCGAAATTTGGCTAAAAGCAGAGACGAGTGTGTGATTAGCGATGTTACACTTGCCATATGGAAGCATAACATATCGATGTTAGTATTTTAATGTTCTGTAATATTTTTTTCTATAAGTAAACTTTCTTAGTTATTTTTCGGATTGTGAAACTATTATTTTCTCATTTTGACGGTTCCAATGCACACAGTATGTCATATTTTGTACAAGGATGTCWAGGAGTTTTTGCTTATTTTTTGCTATTTTTMATTGTATTATCCTAAAAATTTGTTTTGTTTTTTTAAATTCTTTCATTTCAGTTTCAAAAACAACATTCGTTGAAGTCATGTGAGCAAACAAGAACTCTGTAGGGAATGTTTTTGCCCTGTACTATTTTAATATACATGTATTCAGTTTCAGCGTTAATCTTAAACTCATTACTTCTCTCTTTCCTTAGAAGAGCAGGCGTTAAAATCAGTATTTTTAAAAATATATTTCTTCTTTCTTTCGTCGTTTTATTTCTTTCTGTTTTTGGTGTTTTTGGTGAGTCATCTTCTTTTGTCTATTTTTTATCGTTCAAAACTGTGAYAAGAATAGATAACTGTGCTTGTTCCAACGCCTATATGTCTTTTTTCAAATGGTGGGACATCACCATGTTAATATTTTACAGTGAATTGAGCCTYTCTTAGACTTCTTAATATTTAAAATGTCATTGACTTTGGAAAAAAAATCACACTGCATTTTGCCATAAAATTTGATATTAYATTAATAACATGGTAGCTATATTTTCATAATATTGTTTTTTTGTCATATCACTGTTATTATTATATTTGATTATTACTATTATTATTATTACAATTTTTATTTAGTTAATGAAGCTTTTTGTTATAATCTCAAAAGTAATTTATGTATTTTTATCTGTTTTATTTCAAATTCTTTATATTATTTTTTGAATATTATCTAGAATTTAGTAGTTGAAAAAGCCAAGGTATTTTCCAAGGTATTGTATTAGTGTATGTGCGATTTTTTTTTCGCGAAAAATGATAAATTTTTGATAATTAAACCAGATGTCAACATCGCGCGTTTTACTCGTCCGCTTAAAGAAAAAATGGCATCTTTTAAAAGAGACTACCAAGTTAGCTGATAATTATGTACAAGTGACGTGATTAGTTTAGTACGATGAATAAATTGACATAGTATAAACTGTTAACATCTATTGAGAGTTCAAAGCTCATTGATAAACGATCAGATAGTGGGGTAATTTTACAAATTTTATCTCCACAAATCCTGAGTGTCAGCCAGGCCGATATAAAACTGACTAACTTGTGGTTTGAAGAATTGTAAAAGATCATTATTCGCCGTCATTCTTTTATCATTGATCACTTGTGAAACGATTCTCGTCAAACAAACTATAGAGCTCCAACAAAACACYAGTGCTTACAATAATGCAGTTTGCTTTGGGCTCGGTTATAATTAGGTTATTGCTTGACAATGCGATTTATCAAAGTCATACTGCTTTTATAGAATTATTTTGGTWACCGGTTGCCTGACGGGGAGATTAGGTATTGCATCAGCAGGAATCTCGAACGGGGCAGCGACTGGAAAACATATCAGAAAGACTCTTTGATTTTTGTCTCATAGATCTCCGTTTTGGTGTAATTTTTCAAATAAACTTCATGTTTAATTCACATGWGAATGGGAGTTAGCCACGCCGAGTGAAAAGTCTTTTTACATGAGAGTAAATAATGCGACGGTGCTTAAAAAACCATCGAATTCTAATCAGTTCAAGTCCTTTCAGATATCTTTCTCCCCCGCTGGTAGATTTGTGAGGGCAAGGTTTGCAAAAAATCAATAACGAAACAATGGCCCAAAGTGTGCGAATGACCGCAGCTGCTAGCGAAGCGTATATGATCTCTACATATTTCATTGTGAGGATTTAAATACGGATGTAATACGGATTGATTATAAGGAAATAACTAATCATTATTTCATACCTTAATCATTTGTGTGGCATAACTCTCTGGTCCTGTAAATTCTGTGGAAAACCATCGAATTCTAATCAGTTCAAGTCCTTTCAGATATCTTTCTCCCCCGCTGGTAGATTTGTGAGGGCAAGGTTTGCAAAAAATCAATAACGAAACAATGGCCCAAAGTGTGCGAATGACCGCAGCTGCTAGCGAAGCGTATATGATCTCTACATATTTCATTGTGAGGATTTAATTGCCTTCTTGTGATTAATACCCAAATAGAAGCCAAAAAGTTGGGGTTTATTTCTATCAGTTATGTCAGCCAAACCGCGCGGAAAATGGCGGATATTTTACCGAGGCAAATGTTCTCATCGAGTTAGTTGTAATACAATAGCGCYGAGTTTCTAAGTATTCGGCCTTTATGGTGTTATTCCCGTTCGGTATTCTAGTTTATCTAAGTAATTATCCACATCAAAAAAACAATATTTTTATTTAACTTCCTTATAAAGTTCATCGGGATTTCGTTTTTGACAATTTAGCAAAATCGGCAAAATCAGGTGTTAATTTCGTTAATATCCTTTTTCTTAACAAGTTAAGATTAGATATCTCGATATCTTTTAGGTTGGTGAGTCACCTAATGCAGGCGTCATTGTATAGAGTCAGCATTTTAGTGTTCGWCTAACCGCATTAAGATTTTATTAGGTGGTTCGTTAAAGTTAAACTCCTACAACGGCTCATGTTATATGATGAGTTCTATGATTCTGTTATTTTATTTCTAATCTAAAGRAGTTGTCTATTTAGCGCCGGTCTGTCATAAAGATCTGTTTCATAAGGTTATGTTGTGCCCTTGATATATGCCGTGAATCTAAATATTATTGTCAAAACATCCGCTTCGAAATAGGCTAACTCGATGATGGGCCGTCAGAGAACGCCTTTGTGGTATATATAACGTATATATACCTAGGACGCAATGAAAACTATAGCGAGCCAAATGTAATAAGTACGGTAAATCCTGTACAAAAGTGTGTGAATATATCCTTTTTAATTGGGAGGAAACATGATATACAAATAATTGTTCAATGTGTGTGGAGGTTTTTGTAATGAGTCTTCGCTTCGCACAAAAAAAAATCACATATTTTCACTCTTTTCGGCTGTTCAGTGAAGATATTCATTGAGTTTCTAAGGAAACAATCTTTGTATTTCAACTTCAATCTCCGTAGAAACTCCAAACACACCAACTACATTAAAAAAAAAGTTTAAGAATGTGTTCWGTGTGATTTTCTGACCTTGCTAAATTGTTTCGTGCAATATTTTATTTATCAGAGACCGTGTTTGGATTTGGAAAATACATCAAAACCGTTGTCATAAATACTAAATTAACGACCGAATTTTTCAAATCTTTATTCGTTTAACTTCAAAAAAGCGATTCTTCCCTTTCAAGCACCCAACTCTTAGATCTCCGTTTTGACAGTCGTTGATAGTCGTTTTGACATAGTTGGCGATAAGACATACGAATCTCCATTGTCTCTTCAATCAAGTATAGTAATACTACACAAACGTAATTGAGTTATGCCTAGTAGAACTAACAAATGGTTCAACTCGCTGGACTTTTTTTAACGAACTTACTTGYTTAAGAGAGCAGCGATCGCCGCATTCAGACGGCAGCTCAATCACTTGRTAWATCTCCCCACCAAAMGGGGCAAGAACTGAACCRTTTGGTAAGCGCCATGTTGCACAGCTTCGTAAAACGTTGTGCGCTTCTTCGCAGTTTAGGTACTTGCATCCAGGTGGAAGMGCCTGTAGATTRGGGATACCATGTAAACCTAGCGGACTTTCCATCGTTGTCTTTCCTAGGGATMYACAAGGAAAGGTGTTGATTAGGTTGCATACAAACAGGCTGGTTAACTGCATGGGATCGATGTATTCTAACAAACTTAGTRGGAGAATTTTMACATAAAGTATTCAAGACACTGCGTCTAGGCTATCCTAGAACGCTAGGATCGTYCTGCTTTAGGAAATGAATGATTAKAGTTTAATAAAAATGGGAACGTTTCATGGGGAGAGAAAATGTCTTGGCTTGATGAAATGAAGCCGTGTATTTCAGGAGGAAATGAAGCCATACACAGATGCGTACTGTAATTACAATTAACATTGTACTAAGTTATCTTATCAACCCAAGTATAACATCTATATATACAAAAAATAGGGAAATATCAATATCTATAACTGTCAAAACTAAACGWCTTTGATAATGTTCCGCCATAAAAATATTCCATAATTCGTGAAATGAGTCCTCGCTTGAGTTTGTTTTGCTTTTTTAAAGATCTTTAAAGTCACTAACATTTCATTATGATAAATGTTTGCTTACCGTTGAGCATGAGATTTCGATARTGATTAGGCTATATCAAGACCATCGTCTTATCTAACCTTGCTAACATCAAGTAAAAACAATAATCGCCAGTAAACAATCGRRACACCCTGTATTTATACCCCTTATCAGAATTCAAACAATGGAATCTGAACACAAGGAATTCCAAAAATGAACAAATTGCTATCGGTGATATAAATCGCTGAACGGYAGCTACCTAACAACTGAGCACCAATTTAGTCCCACCATAAAAAGGTCCACCGTTTTAAAGAATTGATTTAAGCTTCATTTTGAAGCGAAGAAATTGAATCTCTATATTAATTACATCATGCCTATAGGGTGGGTCAACACCTACCTCCRGGAGTAAAGGCTTCTGGTCTGGCTGGAAGCTTTGTCGATCTACTGCAGCTGAACGGGACTTGTGCTCTACGGGCCTCCACGTGTTACTGTCTCCAAGTTCTAATTCGCTCTATTCGACTCCCTTTTTAGTCGTTTTTGCACTTTCTACTTCCAAGTTAAGCACTCTTAAAGGTCATTACACACCGAACAGACATGAAAACTAAAATAGTAATCTGACGCAGCTGTGGGCCTATTATTTAACGCCAGTTTTCCTCACATGGGGACGAACATTTCCAAATAAATTAAGCAATTGTCCATTGACCAATCATGGGTTAGATCCATACCAGGGGCCATGCTCATTCGCGCGGCTTTGGCCACTATGGATAATAACATCGGGCCGTGCAACCCAGATAGAATAATACCGATTTTATTATCTAAACACTTCTCGTTGTTGTATCGTTTTTTTTTTCTTGAAGGTTTTGATTTCCGCTCATCTTGGCACATCAGTCTTAACAACCGATCCATGAGAAGAAATTACTCTGAAACAGATGGACGTTTACTGAAACCTAACAAGGCATATAAAAACTTCACCGAAGSTTCTTTGATTTTAGCCTGATGATTTATTTGGATGGACATAATAGCTGTGCAACGATTTCAAAYGCACTTTAAAGACTTCGGAAGTCTCTTTGATTACTTTGAATATACGAAACAGAAGAAAGTCAACGAGAAAATTGACCGTGTATTCAGCAAAGCGGTYTATTGACACTGCCTTGAGTTATTTCATACTCGTGGAACGGTGATCTTTTGACTTTAAAGGCAAAAAATTAAAAACGCTAACCAGCGCGTCTCATTAATYTGTTCCCGCGCTTTTTGCACTTATCTAACCAACACTTAACTACCTATAAGCCTATAACACTTCCAGAACCAGCAAYACGCACTATCGCTTCTTCAAGGTTKATATTTTTTGGTATTTTTTCCTTGCGCTTAAACYTCAATTTTTAAAGTTTGCAGTTTTCATTTGTTAAGGAGTCAGAGCTCATTTCAAGAGCGTCGGCAATAAACGGAAGCTGCTAAATCTTCTTTAAAAATGTACTTTTTTTAATGGTCGCAGAGTCGTTAAAAGCTAATGGAATTTTAGTTGTCTAGCCACTTGTTTTTCGTTGGATATTACTGTTATAAACTTTTACATTTTGCTAATTTTCCTCCAATTTGGAAGCCGCGCCCGCCTCCCTAATGTACATTACACATATCTAATGATCCAAGAAAATTACGAAAAAAAGGAATTAGTCACGTGGATGAAGTGTATGATCGTAGTAGACATTTAAATGACCATTTTGAAGATTTTTACCAGTTTAAAATACCGTTTTATTCTAGAAGAAATGTWCTTCRAAATTKTCCAAGGAAAACATTCCAGAATAACCGATCGAGTTTTACGGAAAATCACCAATCGCTTGAATTCTTTGTTTGAGCCAATACTCTACATTGGGGTTCTAAAAAACAGTACAATTTGTATTGTCCTTCACACTGCAATAAAATATCACTCATCCTCTTGAGCCAAATTGAACCCGCAGGAGTGGTAATTGGTAATTCAATTTTAAATTTGTAATTTAACAAGTGAAAATAATAAAAAACATGAACCGGTCAATGAAGGAGTTCTGCATGCKATCGAAGTGTAATTTCTAGTCAAATCTTCTAGTGTATGGTTTGTCGATCTTTTCACTCACCACATTCTATTCTTACATAAGAACGTTTACGATAGTAAAGCTCAAAACCTCTGAGAACTAAACAGATGTAATCCATATGTCAAATCAAGTTATTCAAAAAGGAGTTGCCCTATTTTTCTTGCTCAGTCGGTGGAAAAAGCCTATTGATTGGTGTCATTATTTCTTGTAAGAATGTGAGCAGTGGTAATGATAATTGTCTAAGTTGGTTGTTTAACAAACGATTTTAGCGAACCGGTATATAGTTTTTACGAGTGTGCGGATCTACATACTGTATCGTCGGTTTCAATCTTTTCTATACAATGCCGATTGGAAAGCTTTAAAAACTGTTAACATGTAATTGTCACTTTCTTATATTGGAGCTGAAAAGGCGAGAACAGCAAGCAAAAGTAACGATTATAACATTAGGTGTTAATCACGGATGTATCTGTACCGCTCGAGGCCAGCTTCGCATTATATGTATCAAAGARGMACCAGCCCTTGATGACCACTGTTTGTTTTGGATMAAAAAAAMMCCTAAAAACTAAATTTCTMTCCTTTCTCACTTCGCTAAAGCATTTTCTCATGATATTCAAACTACTKGAGAAATTGACAAAACGAATGACACCGAAATGGCTTCATGAGAAYTTYAAAAGAAATTCTCCCYGMAATAAAGACAAAATGATTGGGCTTGCTTTTAGCGGTGATAAAAATACCGAGATTTGGTTGACTTGTCGGCTTAGTAATTGTCTTTTTAACAATATCTAAACTAAGTGACTACGGCTAAGAGAAAACCCCACTATTGACATCAGTGTTTGTGTGTATAAGGACTTGCACAATCTAATCCCCATGTAACTCCAAATTGATTTTATCATCGTAATCTAATTTAATATTTTGTGCTGACCGTCAAGTGGCGCATCAAGACTGCACTTAAACACAATAAATAGACGAGTTCCGAGTTCACGTGTTCTTAAGCAGATATACAAGAGCGCCTCGACAGCTTCACAGAAAAGCTTTTTAGTTTTTGACAACAATAATCATTTTGGGTGATTTTGTGATATTAAGCTAGGTGATTGAGCGCTTGTTGGCATTTTACAGAACTGTTTTCTATACCTCTTCTTAATGGCAATCTTTAGTGGAGTTTTATGAAACAAACGTCGCTGTGCTGTATGTAAAAAGTACTACAATAAAAAATGTYCAAGTTTGGGGGATTTGAACAATTYGTACTTTWAATTCTGTCATCTATAAACTTTTGTGTTTTTTTGAAGTAAGAGGAGTATTTATCGTCGATTTAAATTAGAAAAGAAAACAGTTTTCAATTACAGTTTTATTAGTTCATGAAAATTTGAAGTCAATATAGGCATTCTTTTAAACGTTTTCGGGTTCAAAGTCACTATAAATGGCTCTATAGGTTTCAAACCACAAGAAACCTCTGGCTTTGTTGTTATTGATTCAAACCCAAATTGTTTGTTTCGGKTCGATCATTTGGAGTTAACACTTTGCCTTTGCGACAATCCAATGGCATATGGGCGAGGACAAAGGGCAAAAACAAAGCGTCATCATTGAATTAACCAACAACCCGCCCCACGCTGATTCGATCCATTTAAAACAAGATCCTTACCATTTAGGCAATTTAAGTAATTAACTCCTGTACACTCCACACGAACATGGCGATCAGCTGAACGAAAATTGTCGCAGTAATCTTCGCTACGAATACATAATCAATCAATACGAASCATTCAAAAACAAAGAAAAATACAATCAATGGAAGGTCAAGATTCGAATGCAATTGATTTCGAATCTTTGATCGGTCATTCGTTTCAAATATTCTTCGATTTTGAATTGATACTGACGACCCATATACTAAWTTGGATCGAAGCAACGATCGGACTGAGACAATTGAACTGTTTTTAGAAACATCAGTCACAAAGAAAGAATCGCCGAAGGTCAAGTTTTGAATTCATTATAAATCACAACCATAACTTGAAAATTAGTGGTTTTTTTTAGTTTTGGTATTTACTGGTGTGTTATATAAAAGTAGAATTGCCGTTTATCAAGAGGAGTTCCTATTTGCTAAACAGCGATTGCAGTGAGCATTATTGTATGTAAAATAATGTAGTTTTACCTCACAATTATTGAAAACAATACTACTGTTCAAGACGATAAAGTTTTAGAACTTTTTCAATTCGTTAACTTTGTTCATATACGGTATRAATTCCAGATATTCGCTGGAATTATTCGACTACGTTGAACTAAAAATTTCAGCATTTTCTTTAGAAAATCTTTCGCTGTGATTTACTCAAAGTTTTCTGTTTTTTAAGATCCTTATCTTATCATAATCTTTGTTTTAACTGTTTTTTTCTACATGATTTTAATGACCTCAAAGACAACTATTTATTAAGGTTTTAATAAGAAAGACTAGTTAAAACTGAGAAGACAACTAAAGCTCAGTTCTTTTGAWATCTGCACTCTTACTGGTGATTTCTCCAAGAAGTTTTTCCAACTCAGTGGACTTCATTGAACTCAACTCGGCAACGAACCAGAGGCATATGCCCAACAGCTGYAGAAACCAAACAAATACTTAGCCCTTGACGCCACGCACAGCGTGAAGGGCCGTAGACCAGGTCTTCAATGCAGAAGATTCCTCACTTGTGAACAGTGTCATATATAATGGATATGGAATTTAAATCTCTTAGGAGCAGCAGAGAAAAGAATCAAATATTCCAATATGCTACGATGACTACCTATTGCTACTGGGGCGGGACTTTTTCACAAAGTTATAAAATTGAATTGAAAACTGTAGTCAAGCTGAGTCGCTCCCTTTGCGATGTTTTTTTAATATCTCCTGGATTAGTCCAGCGAGGCGATGCGCATTTGATTTTAATTGAGAATACTTCAGTTTTGAAGTAGATTTAATATAAAATCATCCGTCATTCACGCTTGACTTTTTTTGTTGAGGTAGCGAGCACTTTGGTCGGCTTGGTATCAGGGTATTTTAGTTAGTATCGCTTTTTTGGCCTTCTATTACTTTTAAAAAGCATTCTTAGTTGATATTACTGAAAAGGAGTTGATTAATTTGAACTTTTGAGAACTTTTGAGAACTCAGATTTGAGAGAAAATATTCAGTTATAGACGATTTTCATTAGTGAACAAAATGGCAAGGGTTTAAAGAAATTTGCGCAAATGAAACAAACTGCTTGAAATGCAACAAACTTGACCAAATGGTGAAATTGGTGAATAACTTTATATGGAACTAATGATCGAGCGACAGAATATTATTCCAATRTTCCTGAGGGTGATATCTAGGAAGCCATCAGTCGTAATTGCGATAAGATTGACATAAAATGCATCATTTATAAATAAGATGGCATAGAGTACGTATACATGCGCGTTTAAGCATAGAGTATAGCTGATCAATTCAAAATCAAAGTGTCTTCGCCGGAGTTCTAGTTCTMTGCTTTTCATTATTCTACATTTAATATATTAAAATATTGACACTCGATTATCCTTACGATTATCCTTGCCTTGACTCTGTATGCGACTGTGTRTGTTGAAGTCTTACAAAAGGGAGGCTGCGAAAGAGGCTAGAGTATGTTGTTTGGAATTTTATATGGTTTCAGCTGAAGATTGTGGTCCTCTGGACCATACGAAACAATATTGTAGTGAAAATTACATCATTGAAAAACAGTAGTTTGTTCTGTTATCTTCTATTTTATACAGCTCCGGCTTTTATACTGTTGTTAAGCACTTTTATAAATTTTTTTTAATGAAGTTTTTTTTTGTTGAAATTTTTTGATTTTGTTATTGCATTATTTGCAAAATGATTTTTGTTTATTTGTGGGGTTTTGGAGTAAAAAAGCTGGTGGGTGGGGCTGATATTTTACATTGAAGTCCAAACTTTTCGGCGTTTTCGAAGTAAACGACTATATTCACAATATTGCTGTTTTGTTATGATTTTTTTCTCGAATTCTTTTATTACTTTTTAATATTTATTTCCTTTTGTCTGTTTATTAGATGTTGTTTGAAAGCATATTGTGAAGATGGACATCAAGTTTTAGATCAAGTCTCTAAGTTTTAGTACATTACGAGAGAAATCATAAAAACAGATAAAAATAAACAAATATTAGTAAATATTTCATAAATATTCCATGTTTACTCTTACCGTTTTTGTTGACATCCCCAACCCAACCCCGTTTTTCAGTAATTTGTATGAAAAAAAATTAATTTTTTAATTTCTTGGACCAAGGCAGTGTTTTTTTATTAAAATCTCCCTATATTGAAAAAATCTTTTAATTTGAACTATTTAAGAGTCCTTCGCGACGTTATTGTTATCATGAATAATTTACGTTAGCCGACTATTGCCTCAAAAAAGTAACAAAGAGATTTAATTAAAATGAACTTCAAAGGAAACTTCATAAGAACCGAAAATCGTTTTATAAGAATATGGTGCTTTAAATCGGCAATAAACGTACCAAACCTCGCACCTGTATACCACAGTTGCAAGCCGTTTGAAAAACTCGGTTCCTAAACGCCCTTCCCAGCGCCATCTTGAAGTGTAGGCTTTCTTTTTGCCGAATGAAGACCTATAATTTTTACATCAGAAGACTGATGCCTTTTCTTGTTTCAATTCGAAGTCATGGCTACTTTTCAAAATATTGAAGGGAACGAAAACAAGGTTACGCCTTATCACGCCCATGATAATTATTCAAGGCGTAGTTAACAATAAAGGTATCTATAAGTGCAAAACTCGGGTATCACTCTTCGTTGCAAAGCAATGTGCTATCTTYARAGATCGATGGCGTCTAGAACTTCTGTGTGAAAAATGCTACAAATGCATTAGAAGATACTCTTTATAGATAAGTTCAATTATTATTCTTTGTGTTTCTAATCTTCTCTTGTTTTGATATATAGATCAAGGTCGGTTCTAGATCTAAGGGTTAGGAATATGCCCCAGGGAATTATAGATTTAAAAGAAGCTGTTTTTTTTTCACAGCATAAAAAAAACCTTCCCCATGTTAGTCTGAATCGACCGCATTTCCCCAAAACGCGTTTTTCGCGTTCTAGTTTCATCCAAGGAARTAAAAACAAAGCAAACAGTATTTTGGGAAGATTTGGGAGACCATATCTTATGGATAAAGAGGAAATGCCGCGATACTTAAACAGTTGCAATAATAATACAACCRCACAAGTGTTTTAAGCGCGCACAGGTGCAACTCGATGTGCGTTTGCAAGACATTGCATTGTACTCACAACGCTTTGACTTTATTATGAACTCCTTTTATCRCAAAAACAACAGATTTATACATATTTTTGCATTTGTTTATTGAAATGTGACTAGAACGAAGCAAAGAATCCCTAATACCCCTAAAAAACATTGTTAACACTACATATGTTTCGCACACTTTAATTTCTATAGCTTAAAACCTCATTCACAAATAGATAATAGAGTATGCGCTCTCCCAAAAAAGCGCAATAATGGCGGGCTAAACACACGCCAAGCCTAGTTGCATAATGCCTCAGYTAAACCATTCACAAAGACGAACAGACTTTTACATATTTTCACTCGCCTTTGTTTGGTCATAAGAAACCACACAAAGGTCGTACTGAGATACAAACGCTTTGGCATTCATAGAGGCTTCTTTTCGTACTGCMGATTAGTTTCTAATTAGCATTTGTCACAGGTGTRTGCATAGCGTGTGGTCTSTTATTGCCATTATGCATAGAAGTAGGCGTTGGGCTCCCTGTTGCGAGTCCTTTCTGYGGTTTTATTCACCAATTAGATSCTTGGGAATAGAGTGTTTCGTCGATTTATCAAATGATCTATCTTGCATTTCTACTTGATGTATTGCTCTTTGCACTTTCTATATTACAAAGGATTTAATTAATTCTACTGGAAATTTTATGRCAGAGTGCTCATTATATTTTACTGTTTAAAATACGTTTCATAAAACCTAAGTCGATGTTCAACACGTTATGTTTTTAAGCAGATTTGTGTGACGGCCGCATGGTTAAAGAGTAACGCAACGGATATGACAATAAACGGTACTGTCAAGGGGCCTCGCTTGCTAATTAGTGGCGCCATAAAAAACATTGAATTGAACTGAAAAAAATCACGACTACAAACCACAGGATGGTTAAGGYCTCTAAAAAGTCAGTAGTTTTTGCATATTTATACATAAAGTTATCTTAAAGAAATACTTGATGAAATTTAGTCATTGCGATACTATAACTATTTGACTACTTAAGGATAACACTATCTATTCGTGAAATTTCTACAATTGTTATTCTAGATATGTTACTTTTCTTGAGTTTTGCTTGTGAGATCCAGGGATTTTTGTCTTTTTATCGTCATTATTTTTGTGCCTTCTTGTTGTCGGTTCATTTTACTGCAAAACATAATAATATCTTATTAACCGAGCGCGAGGGCCGAACGGGAAGGTATGGACCGATCTTTTTTCCGACCCTTTTYTGAAATAGGTATAAACATTTTTGCTAAAAACAAGAGAGTTTATGTAAAAACATATTATCTTTAAAGCTTTATCCGTCGTTAATCGAGTCAGCATTTGCAGACTTGGCTTGACAAAATGATTATGTCCAAGACTTCTCATTAATAAAGTAAACAACTCTTAAATATTTTGCAGATATTGCTTTATTAAGCACCAAACATTCAAGGTAAACCAAAAGCAAGTTTCCTTCCTGGGCTGGGTTGTTCAAAGCTCTACTAGCGCTAATCCTGGGCTAACTCCTCAAAACCCTATGGAATTAACACTGGATTAACTCTTATCGGGCTTTTGAACAGCTCGGTCCTGGAAACACAACGTAAGARGTAAAAGCAACTCGTGCATTCATGAAGCGCGTATTTCAGAATACAAACGGTTTCTTCTTCGCTAAAGTCAGTTTTTTTTGCAGTTCATTTGGGTTCTTTTCAACTCCAAGTTTTGAATAACAATTACTTGTGCGTATGCAGCCTTTCAGGGGGAATAATAGCGGCGTTTCTACTCAAAAACAGAAGGCAACGATATCTCAACATATGTTCTAGCTTCTTCATAAACAATGAAACTGTCGGCACTTTTTCCGTACGTTGCCTTACAAAATACAAACCAAGCAATCAACATCGTGAAGAGTCAATCAATGTTAAGTTTTGTTTTTATTTATATATTTTATATTAAACTTACCTAGGTTTATTTACAACCATATAACTCCATCCTTAGTGTCATATAATTATTAAAAGTCTGTGGGTAGAGTCTAATATACCTACAAATAGTAGAGAAACAGATTCTTAGAGAGACGGAACAGTTTCCAGACCGGGGTGGTGTTATAGGCGAATGATTTGTTAACTTTTCGGTTCGTTAACATATCATTAGCATAACCATATAACGTTTTAACCTAACTATCAGTAAATTAGCACTGAATATTGAAAAAAACATAGCACAATAAGCTTTCCTCGCACAATTTTGCATATGAAATAGTTTTTCAAAACTTTTAAGAAAGATTGAATGAGAAAATTAGCATTTTTGGTACTCAGCATCTTTGAACCCTAATATCTCATAAACTATTGCATGTAAAAACCCGAAACTACTTTTGGGAACCGTGAAGAAGACTATTTAAGGCCTCTTCCATGCCCGCTTATAATTTTGCGTCTTCAGTGAAAACAACCCTATTGAGTTGCTCCACTCACCTYGCTGTGATGGTAGGGCTAAGATAATTCTTTACGATCGTTTGCTGATCAGAATTGCCTGGCAAGATTTTGTTTTCTTCGTAATCCTTGAAGGTGTTTCCGTCCAAGCTGTACTTCAGGCTATAGCTTTTCATCCATTCATTCCAGTCCTGACGACCTATAAGAGTAATAATATGGTTAAAGTAGCCGCATGATGCATTTTGTAAGGCTTTCATCGTCTTTTCCCATAATCAGATACACCATGGGATCGACTAGCAAACTGTTGTTTAAGAAAAAACTGTTGTGTAAGAAAATAAATTTAACGCCGTAAAAAAGTAGGTGAAACAGCTTACTACTGATGTTTCGGACGTTAATTATTCGCCTTTCTTTAATCCGACAAAGGATTAACGTCCGTAACGTCAGTAAGTTGTTTCGGTGTTAAATTTATCTTTTTACAAAACTGTTTCTTTAGAAACATCGACGCAGCTCACACTAGTTTGCCCTAGTCTCCACTAAAGTGCAAAGTCATATTGTGTTTGAGGCTGTTTAGCAAACAAGTAGCTTTTTTATTAATTTTCAGATATATATTCTAATTGTATATCTCATGTATCTTTTTTGAAGCATTTTCAAAAACCAATAACGTCAGTTTCGCAAAGAAATCTCGTCCTTCATAGTTTTTTAGACTTCTGATGTTTGATAGTTTCAGCAATACCATGATGCACTTCGCCAAAATACGCATGACGTCATCAGAGAAAGATAATAAAATTGTGCAGCACACGTATTAGGCATACACCACATTTATGTTTTAAAATTGTGTTAAGACCTCTCAGTTGCAAATGGTTTGCACTAGCCCGACGTGGTAGTAACGTATGATGTATTATTATATATCAAGTGTYAAAGTTCACTTTTCCTAGTATCTTATTGGTCGAGAGTGTACCACGTGAAAGTCACAAAATTTTACTGTTTCCCGGCARCTRTCCACCAGCGGTCAATAATATGTTGTGGACTGTCAATAAGTACAAAATCGCAGAAAACCACTCTCCAGTGTCGTGAAAATGCCACATTTACGGACGGTGCATTCCAAAATTGTTATGAAACATTTAATTTAGACTACAAATAGCCACGTTACATTTATAGTATTCATTTTGTTATTACATTGATTGATTTAGTGACATTTGACTATTTGTATTGCCATTTTTCAAGTGATAATAAATTTTTTAAGTGATAATAAAGCACTTATTTACTGGAAACCTCGGGAAACGGCAGTATGTTTTGCGGTACCTCGACCGCTGATGTTTCATCAGGGGTCTCGGGACCACAAAACATACTGTTTCCCTCGGTTCCAGTAAATATGTGTTAATTATTTACCTTGTGTTGCGACTGCAGCTACCATGGTGACAGTACCAAGGTCTATTTGTATCCATTCTCCCACTCGATTCGCTTTAGGTGCCCAGCCCCCATCGATCGAGTTGTCCGACGGAGGAACAAAATTTAACCTGGCATTGTATGGTTGGAATTTCGATGAATAGATCGAAGAGGAGGTCATCTGTGAATTGGGAATTGTCCTACTCTCCAAACCAAGAGCGACATGGTTTTTGCCTTTAAAAAGAGACATGAAAATTATTAGTGGTCAATTTTCTACAATCTAGTGCCCAGGACCTTTTTCGAGGCAAGTACGAAAGTAGAATTGAGAAAATGCTGTTGTTCGGTTATTCTTACAAATTTTTGACTTGCATTATAACTACTATTACTAAATACTTACATTTTTCACAACGGTCTCCTTCAAATGCGTTTTTGCATTTGCATCGGAAAGCTTTTCTGTTGTCGCTCAAAATACAACTCTCTCCACCCGTACCACACGGCATATCATGACACTCACTCTGTTAAAAAAAGTCACTTTTTAGTTTAAATGGTGGAAACTAAAAGTAAACTAGTTTGAGCTGGCGTCGGTGTTCCTAAAAAAAAAACAGTTGTGTAAAAAGGATGAATTTAACACCGTAAAAAGTAGTTGAGACAACTTACTGACGTTTCGGACGTTAATCCTCCGACGAAGGATTAACGTGCTTATGAAGCGAATTTGTACATTTCTTAAAAATAATTAAGATGAAGAGAATAACAGCTTGACAAAGTGTCACTGGATGCAGGCTTTAAATTTCAGAGTAAATAATCCAGTTTCGAATTCTCCAATGCTCTGTGTTAGCCTCATTTGTGCGCAAAATATTCCTTATTGTGAGCGTAAAAGTGTGAGATTTCAAATCAATTTATTGTCTTTCTTCACAAAATTCCATGCGTTTTCTCAAGCTATCAATGAAACAAAAGAATATGTTACTTGATTTTGAGGCTAACACAGAGCAAACCAGAACTCGAAATTGGAGTATTGGAAGTTAAAAATCCATTATGCTAATTTGATGATGTCACATGATGTGCTCATTGATTATACAAAATTGCCGTATTGTTTATTTTCACCTTATTATTTTGTAAGAAATATTTCTAGGATTACCAAAAACAATCTTTTACAGTTTGGGAGGGGTAAATTTGAAAAGCATAATTAAAAAATGTTCAATTAGAAAATTCGCTTCATAAGCACTTTAACTAGAACATATTTATGGACCTGTTCTCAGAGAGAATTCGCTGGAAAATATAATCGATTTCAATGACAATGTTTATAAAAAAGTAAAACAAATATCATAGAAATGTCGTTGAACGGTGTCGTTT